ATTCGGTGCCGATTCGTTGATGTGTTGGGCCGCAGAAGTCCCCCCCATTTGGGTGCGTCGCAACGCCATGCGATGTCAAACTACGCGTCCTCGTTTCCGCGCGTCCGCTTTTTTTCTCCAAAATGCTGCTCGCGCTGAAGCGGTGGCCTCATTTCCGCGCTTCCGCTCGTTCCGAATCGTGCTCCCGCTGCAGCGCTGGCGCCATTATTTCCGGCGCCATGCCACAGCATGGTTTTCGTTCTGTCCAAGTGGCCCAACTATGTTATTTAAAAGCCTCCCGAACAAATCATCGGAAATGATTGCACATGCGGTGCCGCAGAAGCCCCCCCACTTGGGGGCGTCGCCACGCCATGTTATGTCAAGCTACGCGTCCTCATTTATGCGCTTCCGTGTTTGTTTGTTGCTTCCTTTTTTCCAAAATGCTGCTCTCGCTGCAACGCTGGCCTCATTTTAAGGCTACCGCTCGTTCCGAACCTTGCTCCCGCTGCAGCGCTGGCCTCATTTCCGCGCTTCCACTCGTTCCGAATCGTGCTCCCGCTGTAGCGCTGGCGTCATTATTTCCAGCGCCATGCCACTGCATGGTTATCGGTCCCTCCACGTAGGCCCCTAAAATCTAGAAAATGGCCTCCCGAAGAAACCATCGGAAGTGATTGCACATTCGGTGTCGATTCGTTGATTTTTTTGCCCGCAGAAGCCCCCCCCACTTTGGGGCGTCGCCACGCCATGCTATGTCATGATACGCGTTAGTCTTCAGCACCATGCTATGCCATGTAATGCTATGCCATGCTACACATCCGATTGTGCGAATCGAGAGGAGATCTACGCCATGGTAGGGGATGGTAGGGGATGCGAGCGCACCTAGCTTGTCCCCCTCCCCCTCCCCCTACCCCTTCCCCCCTTCCCCCTCCCCGTTCGGAGACATACACTCAACCCGTACAATAAGGACGCACGGTGAGGATGCAAGGGCCTTGCAAGGCCATGCCGACACTCTGCGAGTGGGGCGTGGCCAGCGAGAGCGGCCAAGGATGGGCCGAAGGGGAAGGATGCAAGGGTAGCACTGGAAACTGGCTCATGCTTTGTAATGTGCGGGTTGACTGGGAAACTCGGGCTCGGGGGACTCGGGTTGGCCTGACGGGGCCATCGTGGAAATGACGAGACCCAATCTGAAATTTGACGCGAACTCCCGCTGCGCACATCCTGCGACAGCTGGACCGTCAAAATCCCAGGACGCGCTCGTCAATCAGCGCTGGCAAACCCGAACTCCGGCGTACTCGAGTCTTACGCTTCCCCGACAGGAGGGGGGGGCTCTGTGGCAGCTCGTGGGAGCCTCCCGTGCCATCTTGCTGGCCCTTGCGAACCGGCGCTGACCGACGCCAAATTAGCACTGAGCGACGCTGACGGACATCCTTGGCGGCGAGCGAGGCGGGAAAATGATAAGGAAACGGCCTTCTTAGAAGGCGGCGGGACTTCTCAGAAGCCCTGGCACCTTCCGAGAAGCTGTTTCTGTTTTCGGGGAAGGCTCGAAACACTTCTCAAAGGCCGGGGGGCTTCCAAACCTTCTGAGAAGGCCCTCTCCTTCTCACTACAACCCCGGGCGCGCCGCCGAATTTGGTTTTTGGGTCATAGCTCGGGTCTCTGGCGGGCGTTCGGGACGATCCCGGCGCCCCCGGAACGCTCTCAGCGAGGCGCAGCTGCTGGCAAGCATCCCGAGGCTGGAAAGCCGCCAAGAAACTGCGAACACGCCCGAACACCTCGAGCCTCGAACACACGACCTCGCTCGCCGCCGACCTCCAGAGCGGAATTCCGATGGCGTGCACACGGCTCCCCTCCCGAGGGGCGGGGCGCCGCCGCGGACGGTGCGAGCTCACGGCCGGGAGCTCCGTGGCGTGGCGGTTGCCAGGGCGGCGGCCCCGGCGAGACACGCAGGCCCCCCTGCAGGCTGCTGGCACGCCGCTCCGCTCCGCGGGGCGGGAGGCTCGGAAGGGCTCGGGGCCAAGGGCTCCCATCCTCGCGCTTCGCGCTGCGCGAAGCGCGAAGTGCGAATCACTTCGCGCTCTCGCGCCGCCTCCCAGGGGAGAAGAGCAGGACGAGGAGGAAGCGGAGCCGAAGCGCGAAGGACTGCGCGCCCTCGAGGGCGCCCCTGGGGACGCTGGAGCTCGAGGACTGGGATTCGGTTGGGCGTGCCCCCCTGCAGGCGGTCCAAAATCGTCAAACATGGTCCAAAAATCGTGCCCAGATCATTCTTTGAACTATGCTCGAATATTCCTCCTGTACAGGGACGTGCCCGCCCCAAGCCTGGGAAGTGGATCGCGCGCCGCGCCGCAGCGTGGCGGGCCAAATCCCGGCGGCGCGACACGCTGGGCCAGAATACCTGGCCGTGTAAAGCTCCGGCCGCCCCCTCACTGCAACGCTGCCCGGAGGACGCCTCCTGGGGGCACCTTGGGCCAGGGGCACTTCCAGCCACACCCCGTCCAGTCCTGCTCTGGGGCCTCCGGGCGCCCGCTTCCGAAGTCGCCCGCGGCTGGCTCCTGTCGCGCCGGCGTCGGTTCTGGACACCGCGTGGATTCCTCAGCCTGGAGCTATCGCGGCTCTCGGGGAAACCTACATGTGCCGATACGGGTACTCCCCGACCTCTCCTGGAGTGCGCACTGACCAGAACTTCGAAGCGAATGCAGCGGTGGCGACGAGGGCCTCCCAGGAGGCCCCAAAAAGGCGCGAACCAGGCAAGGGAGGAGAAGGAAGAGGAGAAGGAGAGGGGGGAGGAGGAATGGGAGGAACGGGAGGAGGGATGTGGGGGAGCAGGAGGGGTGGGGAGCAGGGGGAGCAGGGGGAGCAGGAGGAGGAGGAGGAGGAGGAGCTCTCCGACAGCGCTGATCGCTCGACATCGGCCGACGCCAGGCCGCCCGCGGCGTTCCCACCGCGGACGCCCACGCGGGGGTCGCCGCCTTGCCGACGCGCGGCGCCCGTCCTCGCGCCATCGCACCGCTGCCCGAAGGGCAGACCTACGGCCCCAGCCGCGACACGCGAGGGGCGAGGCACCTCCGCGCCGCCGCGGGCGACCCAGCGCAAGGGGCTCCACCCTGCACCCAAGGCTCCTCCCCCTCCTCCTCCTCCTCCTCCTCCTCCTCCTCCTCCTCCTCCTCCTCCTCCTCCTCCTCTTCCCACTCCTCACTCGCTGCCTGAACCCAAGAGCGTCACAAACTGACAAAAACCGGCGGCATGCTGAGATTGCCTCCGGTCTGAGGTTTCCGGACGCCCGCGTCTGTCCCCCGGGGTCAGCAACGGAACGGCCCTGGACGGAACAAGTGAGTGTCAACAAGTGAGTGTCAACGGTGTCGACGTGAAAACGGAGGGCAAGAAAACGCCACCTAACAGGAATCGTTCCAGAGGTCCGCGCGCATGGCGCTTGTGAAAATGGGAAACAATCCAGTTCATGGACACATTCAAACACATCCACATCTCGGAGGCCAGCGCGGCTTTCTTGGGGCGGTGGTGACTGCCCCTCCCCTTCCCGAGCGCGCGTAACGCGCCGGCCAGGGGGCGTCGCCAGGGCTGCGGGGAGGAATGCCCAGCGCCGATGGACAAATCCGCGCGGATCTTCAACTCTTCAAATATGTGAGCTTGCTATATACATATGTGTAGACATGTATATGTGACTGTACATATACACATGTACGTTAACCAACGTGAACTCCAAACTGTGCGTTTGTAGCAACACGTGTTGCGCAACATGTGCAACAATCTATGTGGAGCATTCTGCGTGATGCGATATATGCTGTGCAATCTCTGACGTGTATCCTGCGCTGTGCAATTGTAGTGGATCCATTTACGTGGTGCAATAGATGTGGTGACATCTGTGTTGTTCATTCAATGTTGTGCGCAAAATATGTGGTGCGATCAACGTGGTGCTCTCTATGTGGTGCGCAATTTGTGTGCTGCAATCGACGTGGTACAACCTGCGTGCGGCAACTCATGATATGAAATCTATGTGCTACGTGGTGCAATATACGTGGTGCCACTCACCCTGCCGAACTAGAAGTTGCCCACTCGACTGCTCGCGCAATCACCCCACCCAACCACCCTCAATTTGGGTTGCAAAACCCATGCGGCGGCGATTGTCATGACTGCTTGGCGCTGGCTGGCGCATCCTTGCGGCCGCGATTGTGCGCGAAGGCTCGCGCGCAGAGCGCCGAATCAGTCTGGCGCGACCGACGCGGCCACGGTGGTGCTGACCGCAGGGCACTTCCCAGCGTGTGTAGGTAGCCGCGCTGACGCGCGGGCACTTCAGTGCGAGTCGGTGACTCGGGCAGGCGCGAAATCATGGCGGTGTTAACAATGGCAAACGATAATGATAGTAGCAACACTGGTGACGACGATGACGATGACGACGGCACGGCCAATGACGGCGCCGACGCGGATCGAACCGATGACGATGATGGTGTCCACGGTTCGGTTATGAAGGTTTCGGAACCTTTTCGGCATGCGCGCGCGGCTGACAAGCGCGAGGGGCCCGCATGGTAGCGCGCAAGGGTGTCCGAATGATCTCGGCATGCGCGCGCGAGAGGCCCGTCTGGCCGCAGTTGATGAAAACTTGGGAAAACCTGGTGGTCCTACGAATTTGCAAGAGCGCGCGCAGACCTGTTTTGAAGCATCATGCTGCCAAACTATGTGCGTGTTGTTTAAATATGGTCTCGGGACACTCGGCTTGGACCTCCCGGCGAAACGTAAGGATGTTGCAGGATTTCTGCATGCGCGCGCGACGACGCAAGCATGTGCAGTTCGTCCCACGGTTTGCAATGGAATATTGCAAACTGATGTGTGTTGATCAACCTGTGTGCGCGCATCACATTGTTTGACACGGAGCGGGGCCCGACCGAACTGGGATGGTACGAGTTCGTATCCAGAACGAACGAAGGGGCAGGACCAAATGCAAACTGCACATCCCCAGGGTAGACCCTAGTTTCTTCATAGAACGTGTGTGTATGCATGTACGGTGCAATCTATGGTGTCCAATCTAGGCGGCGACGGGGCGGCGACGGCGAGCACGGAGCGGCCTGACCGACACTCAAGCCCAGACGACGGGCGGCGACGGGGCGGCGACGGCGAACACGGAGCCGCCAGACCAGCCAACACCCAGGCCCAGACGACGGGCGGCGACGAGGCGGCGAGGGCGAGCACGGAGCCGCCCAGACCGACACCCAGGCCCAGTTCCTTAGAACAGAAGTCAGAACCCTAATTAAGTGCAAGCACTGCTCGGGGAATCTACACACTGATGTATGTATACATCTAGGGTCAAGTGGAAGTGTCGGAGGTCTGGCTGTAGACAGCATCTCCTTCGGCTTCGGAGGGTCGGGGATGATCGCGAAGCCGATGAGGCGGCTCGGGGCGCCGACGATGAAATCGTGGTATATGGACAACACGGCTAAGATCCGCCTGCTCCATTTTGCAGTATGGAGAAGGAGCCAGATCGAAGCGACAACGTCTCCTCCGAGGATCGAGTCCCGGGGATCGACGTTCCCGAAGGGCCTGAGAAGGGAGTCCTGCGGGGGTCGCAGCAGCTGCAAACTCACCTGCTCATGGGGTTCATGCTTCTGGGGGGTCCAATAAACGAGCCCAAAGCAAGACGCATGCGGAAACACACCGTGGGGTACAAGTGCTGCACTGGACGAACAGAAATCCCAAGGAATCGCAAGAGACACCCCGATGGAAAACGCTTGTTTTCAACCATGCTTCCCCAGGAAAGGCAAATCTAATGGATCAAACTCAGGGCAGCCCAGGACGGTGTCCAAATAAAAGGGGGGTAAAAGGGGGGGGTCAAAATTAACTGGCACCGGAATATCTGAAGGGTCCGTGCTAAAGTGATGGCGCCCTTCCGCCGTTGGCTGCAAGGAATGTCTGCAAGAAGCCGAGGGACATGTAAAGAAATGTGCAGACGACAGACGAGCGTCTCGGGATGTGTTTGAATATCTCAACGGCTCATCTGCGACTCTAGTCACATTAAGAGGCTGGTGCGCTTGGCATGGACGGCCTTGTCCGCCATGGCGCGCGCGGTGAAGTTGCGACGCGCGCTGACAGCGCATTGAAAATGAATTGCAGACGGGCAATTGAATAGCAACTTTACTGCGCAGGGGCCGAAGCCTTTCAATAGATTTGAGCCCAGGATCCCACTGCACGCGCCAAATCTACTGCAGGCCCTCAAGTTTGTTGCAACAAGGGGGTTGCATTGCATTGCTGCGCTGGCCGGGGACGTTGCGACAAACCGGATGCGACTGGATCGCCTAGAGAGCCTGTGAGGAGGGGGCGTGGATGCCGAAGAACGTTTCCCGATTCCGATGACGGAGTCGGAACACACTTGCAACAAAGTGGCGGGCCTTGTCACCTCGAACTCGCACGAAGCTCCAAGACCCTAGCAATAAAAGCTCGGCGTGCGAATTCTTATGTGTGGCAGCCGCATCATGGGAACGCGACGTTGTCACGACTCAGATCCAAACTCCAAAAGCACCACCCCTTCTAGCTGGACCCACCTTGGGGATGCCTGCACAAGCTTACCTTCCCCTGACCCCCAGAAGGCTGAACCCCATTTGCAGGCGTAGGAGCAGGTGGGTTCCCCTGGCAATTCTTGGCCAGGCCGCCTCAGACATCCGACTTCACGATCTCTGTTCCCAACGTGGCTCCCCAGAGGTCTGAGCTCCTCCCTGGGGGCCGGCCTTTCATCCTGAATCGTTTCTGTTGACGGTCGCGGGGCCCGGTAAGGGCCCCCTAGGGCTAAAAAGAAGCGAAACCAGTGCGTCGTTCACCTCACCGGGTCACCGTTGGCCTCTGGAGGCCAATACTGAAGGGGCCCCAGGACACACAAATAAATACACACAAATAAAGATATTGACCATATTTTCCTAGATTTACTGGGTTTCTGTCTTCCCCCCCACTTCCCATACTTTCCCATATCTTCGGGGGGGTCGACGATTATTTGTGTCTGTGTGCTCCTTTTCCTCCCGAAATACCAACAGAAGCAACACGACACCCAAAGTGCTCGATCTACGATCCTCGGCGCTCCTATAGGATTCAAGGGAGGCCTCGCGCCCGCTCGCGAGGGGGCACGAGGCCCGGGGCGAAAAACACACCGGCGACGAGGACAGCGAAGACGTACGACGACGGCGAGGAAGACAAATTGGACGCCCGAGTTATCCGGGGTAACTCGGGTCCGGGGTAACTCGGGTTTGAGTTCCCGAAAAACGAACCCCGGGGGCCGAGTTCCCCTGCCTTCGCGAGGAAGGGAGGGTGAGCGGGAGGAGGAGGGGAGTGGGATCAAGCATCGAGGATCGACAAAGTTGGGCGTTCACGATGTGGGCGGGGGTCAAGTTCCTCTGCCTTCGCGAAGAAGGGAGGGGGGGAGCAGGAGGAACACGGGAGGAGGATCGAGGACCGAGGATCGACGACGCTGGGCGGCAATGGCCCTCTTCGGGCCGAGGCACCCGGAGACCTCGAGAGGAAGATTGAGATGCCTGGCGAGAATAACGACGAAGACGACGAACCCGACGACGATCGGGACGATCGTGACGATCACGACGACGAGGGCGGGGAGAGGACGGCGAGGATAGGGAAAGACGAGGATGGGAGTATGAGGGGGAGCGCGAGGAAGGAGAGCGAGGAGGGTGAGGAGGGGAAGGACCAGGGCGAGGAGGATGGCGAGGATGGCGAGGAGGGCGATGAGGGCGACGAGGGCAAGGAAAGGCAGGGCGAGGAGGAGGAGGAGGAGGAGGAGGAGGAGGAGGAGGAGGAGGAAGGGAAGATTTTTTGGATTGCCTGTTCGTTAAGGCAACTAGCCTGTCGAGTTATGTTGGCGCTGCGACTAGCGACGCAAACTGAAATAGTGAGATCGCACGGGCACCTAAGGATTGCAGTATACAGTACGAGTACACCAAACCCATCTCTCCATATACCTCCCACCTCCACGCAATCCTCCACACTTCAGCTGGGCAGCTGGGCGGCAAACGCGAAAGCTGCGACAGCGGCCTGCTGTGCCCGTCCAGGGCATTCGGGTGGAGGGGGAGAGGGAGGGAAGGAATGAAATACGTAAAACGGGAAGGAGGAAGGCTGGGACGCAGACCCCCTCAACAATATTTAACTTGGCCGGCAAACGCTAAAGGGGCTTGCATCAATGGCCTGCGCACTGTGGGGTAGGGGCAGGAAGATGAGGAAATTGCCAAAGCGGAAAGCGAAGAGTAGGTAAGGCTGGAACGCAGACCTGGGCCCTAATCCCTTTTCTCTCTCGCTCGCCGCTCCTCCTTGCATGACACACCGGCTCTGCAAATGAGCATTGCTCGCGAGAGTGTACTGGCCGCACCGAGAAACTCCTTCAACCCGATCCCACCACCTACAAGTAATCCCGCCCACCACTCCAATCCCATATGCGCGAGACGCACCGCGGTCTAAGACACGCAGGAGTGCAGTGTTCGCTGACAGCCGTGTGGCTCGACCCGTGCCAGAGGGCGAAAGGCGAACAGGCTCGCTTGGCAGCGACTGAAATCGCGGCATGTGCCGGGACTGGGGACAGGGACGGGCAAGGCGGCAGACTTCGCAAAGGGAGACTGTGGTCATGTCGCCCTTGTGTCGCTTGTTCCTTGCCCAAGAAATCGCATGGAGATAGCTGCCAAAATGGCGCTGACTTGTGCGCAAGAGAGCGCGCACGCTGATTCTCCGATCCTGCCCCGCCCATCCCCACGAAGAGAAAGAGAGGCTGGTAGCATGCGACAAGAAAGATGGGGCATGCTCGCTGGCAGGCTGGCGAGCCGTCCGCTGCACCTCTCGGGCGGGGGGGGGATGCGGAGCTGCCCCGTAGGCACTGGCTGCCTGATTACCATGGCCACCTGGACCTGACACGCACCTAGGCACGTCGTAGCAATCTGACTGATCATTCAGCACGAGGGCCGGGCTGGGTGGGCACAATGATGCGCGGAGCGGCGGGGGCGGGGCGGCTGGCGGAGAAAGAGCGAGAGAGCGATAATAGGAGCGGGTCGCTTCCTCGCTCGCAATCCCTCCCTTCGCAAACTACACCCATCCTGAACCCGAAACTCCCTCCACTCCAACCTTCTACTGATGAAAGATGCCGCTGCCAAGCTTTGGCTGCGTCGTCCACAGCAATGCGCGCGCGGCAGGACACGACCGTGGTAAGCGCATAGAAGCTTCAGCGCCCTATCGAAACTCCCAAGATGGTTCCCACAATCTGAGTAGAGAGTTCCGTGAACAATTCCAGGGGCCTGGACCTGAATCCGCTGCATCTGCGACATCCCTGATACCAGCTATGGAGGCATGCGTGATATCAGTCGCCTCTGACATACTTGGCATAACTGGCGGTAGGTTTAACACCACGTATATAACTTCATGTTTGCAGACAACAGCGCGGCAGGAGAAAGGGCGGCTGGCGGCGAGAGAGAAATCGTGAACCCACTGGACCCTCCGACTAACCCCCACCCCTCCTTCTACTTAGTCCGAGACGCTGCTGCCGAGATTTGGCTGCGCCGTCCATGGAGCTATGCATGCGGCAAGGCACGCCTTGCGTCTATGTCTGACTTCAGCATGCTGGATCCGCGAGCTGGACTGGAGTAGGCATATGGGGGGAGGGCGAAGGCGGCTAGGAGCGAGGGGGGAGGCAAATCGGACTCCATATGATCGAGAGGTTCTGACACTAAGTCGGCTGCGCTGGCAGCCACAGGCGAGCTATGAGATGGCTCTGGCATCTCACTCCTGGCAGCTCGCCTGCCCTGCTGCATCGCCCCAGTGTCGACTCTCCCGTCGACTCCGCACCAGCGCCGCCGACCATCTCGAAGCCGTCGGGCCTGCGGGAGCTGCGGTCGCGGCTGTGCCGCGTCCGCCTCGCCGCCGCCTCCGCCTCATGTTCGCCGAACTCCGCCGCGATGTCTGCGCGTCCAGCTGGGGCCGGGATGCTGCCGCGGCCTCGATGCCCGCCCATTTGCTGCTGCCTGGTTACGGCGTCCGCAAGCAGCGGCTGGCCCGGCGGGCGCCTTGAACGCTCCTGCTCGCGCTTGGCGCGGCGTGCAGCGGCGGCGCGAGCTCGCACCGCTGCGAGGTCCTCGCCGTCGGCCTCTGCAGGCTCCGCTGGTGCACCGTCAGCTGCTGCGGGGGCGGGCGGCGCGGGGCCGGCGCTAGCTGCAAGGTCAGCTGCTCCGTCGACTGGGCTCGCTACCGCGGCCTCGGAGGCAGGTGCGGCAGCAGCGATCTCCTCGGCCGTCGGCATGCGGCCAAGTCGCTGGGGCTGGCCAGCGTAGGGCCTGACCTGCGGGCCGTCACCTTCAGGTGGGACTGGGACCTCGGCGGCAGCTGCTGGGGTCCTCGCCGCCGCCATCGCCGTCTGCAGCGTCGTCAGCATTGCCGTCGGGCTGCTGAGCTGGGCCGCGAGCGTCGCCTGGCCGCTCTGGAGCTCCGCGATGGCCGCCAGCTGCACAGGCATGCCCTGAGGCGTCTGAGGCGTCACGCCTCCAGCCTCAGGCGTCCGCGTGCCCTCCACGTACGCGCCCATGTCCACGTCGCCAGCTGCTCCTCCAGCCGCATGGCCTGCCTGCGTCGCCTCGAGCTGGTCCAGCAGCATCTTGGCCCTGTCATGCTCCATCTCGCGCTGCGTGCACTTCGACTCGGCCTCCTGTAGTCGTTCCTGCGCCTTGTCGACCGCCTCGCGGGCACGCTCGAACTTGCTAAGGGCCTTGGCGACGTAGGCTCGTTGGCGGTCACAGCGCTCACCTGGCGCACGGGCCGTGATGATCATGCATAGCTGGACGCTGTACTCTAGCTTCTGGCTTGTGATGATCTCCTCGGACGCACCGAGGTCGATGGAAGCTTGAAGGCGCTTCCCTGTCGCAGCTGCAATCTGCCGTAATGCTCGCCTGTGCGCCGCCAAGGCGCGCTCGTCGCTGGGAGGGTCAACCCACGCTGGGTGCTGCCTCGCATCCTGCGGCAGCGCGGGGAGGATCCCGAGCGCTGGGCTGCGCATCTCCTCGTCGGCATCCGAGACGCCATTGCCGTCAGGGCCGGGCTCGGGCTCATCCGCGAAGCGTACACGCGAGCCCGACCGCGGCCGCTCCTCTCGCCTCTCACGCCCACGTCTGCGGCGGCGGGAGACGGAGCGTCGGCGGGTTGGCGTCCCTGGTGATGTCGAGCTCCGTCGGCGGGGATGATGCACTTGCTGCTGCTGCTGCTGCTGCTGCTGCCGCTGCTGCGGTGGGCCTCCATGCCCGCCTCCTTCGACTGGGCCCGAAGGGCCTGGGTAGCAGCACCTGCATAGCCTCTCCTGTGGGCCGCCGGAGCCACCTCAGTCGTCACACCACCAGCCTGGCGGCGGGGGCGGGGGCGCGCCCTGCCACGGCGGGGGGGCGGTGCCGCCCGTTGCGCCCGTGCGGCCCTTGCCGCTGCCTCCCTTGCCCATGGTACTGTGGTGTGCGGCAGGGAGGCGCGCGGCGGCCGCGACCCGCAGCAGCGTGCGCGACTGTGCACGTCTCAGGCGCGCTCGCCGATGCCACGCGGGCTCGGCGCGCCCGCGCCTGGGAGGTCCAGCGCCAGCGGGACCAGCAAGAGCGCCGCGAGAGCGTGCGCGGCCAGCCGCGGGCCGCCCAAGCGCGGATCGCGCGGGACTGGGGCGCGGGCCAGCGCGCGTGGCTGCCGCCCCTGAGAGGTCGCCGTACCTGGTACGGCACCCAAACCTCTCGAACCGGGGCGGCGGCTAGGAAGGGAGGAGGAAGGGAGGAGGAGGAGGAGGAGGAGGAGGAGGAGAGCGAGGGAGGGGATGGCGAGCAGGATGGCGAGGAGGAGGGCGAGAAGGGCGAGGGGGAGGACGAGCTTGATTCGTCGCCAGGAGCTCAGGGGGGGGGGTCCAGCATCAAAGACCTCCTGAGGCTACAGACTGCGGAATATGGATACCCTTGGAGCAATGCGACGCGGGCGGTGGCTGGGGAAGACCGCGCGGTGGCGCGGAGGAGAGCGCCCACCTTCTTGATCTCCATCCCTCCATCCTCCTTTCGCCATCGCTCGGACGTCAATTTCCCGTGCATTTCTCGAGTTCGTGTGTACTTTTCGTCGGATGATCTGATCTGCTCCTCGATGGCCCTCGCCGAGAGAAAATACACACATGAACCCATTGTGAAACCACAGATGGGATGGAGAAGTCCGGTGAGAAGGGCGAGGAGGGATGAGACAGGATCAGCCAGCATCGACTCGGGAGTCACGGCCACACCGAAATAAGCGTCGCATCGGGCCGCACCGGTACGGAGCCGAGATCGAACCGGTCGCGCCAGGATGCTCAGGAGCGCCCATGCAAACATCGGGCCGCATCGGATCGCCTAAATATCGGAACCGCATCAGACTGGGCCGCTCGGAGCTGGATCGAAGCTCGGCCCTGAAGGGTTGGACAGAAAAGGGAAGAAGGAATGGACAGGGGAGCGGAAGGTTGAAGGGGCCCTGGGACACACACATATAAATACACACAAATAACGGGATTCCCACTATTTTCCAATATGCTCTGGATTTTTGTCTTCCACCCCACTTCCCAGATTTTCCATCTATTTTCTGGGGTATCGACGATTGATCGTGTCTGCGTGTTTTTGCCCCTCCTGAAAGGGAGCGCGCCGATTCTGCTGGCTGGCCGGCCATGGGGCCCCCTATGGGAGGCAGCCCGAGTGGGCGGGTGCACGCTCTCGGCACGCGCTGGAAGAAGGCCCAAACATGCGATGTCCTGCTGTTTCCGGTACGGGCTCCCTGGAAGCCCCGACCCTTCCCCCAGAACCGTACTTTCAATCCCGAGTCGTTGTTTGACCGTCCCGGGGCCCAGCGAGGGCCCCCAGAGGCCACTGACGGCCCAAACCTCCCGTCCTGACGTTTTCAGGACGCGAGCATGTCTGGGGACGGACGGAAGGAGGAGGACACCAAGGGGCCGAGGGGCATCGATAGGGAGTGACTGGCATATGGGGGGGGAACGTCGACCTGGAATCGGCGATACGTCGCCCGTAGATCGCGGAAAGGTCCCTGATGGCAAATCCGAAGGTTCCTGGGCAGGGTGGGGCTAGCAGACCCCTGACGGCAACCCACGGGCGATTGGGGCCCGATGCCATCCGGGAGAAACCAAGAAGGTACCGGTACCGCTATTTCGGGGATGGACAGACCTCCCTTTCGTAAAACGTGGTTTAGCGAAAACGACCTGAGGCCCTAACCTGGCGGGCGCAAGCCTGGAAAGTAACGGCAACGGCGCCCTCTCGAGAACTGAGAACGGACCATCCACTAATCGGCGTGTCACTGTTGGGGGTTCTGTCCGCCCCGGACTATTCCTGAGACCTCTCCTGGATGCGGTCTGACCAACATTTCGAGGCGAATCCAGCGGTGGCGAAATGATCCTCCCAAGAGACCCCAAACACGAAAACTGAAGAAAGATAACGGGATAGGTACTTCGTCCTCCTCTGAACGGCAAAAACCTCCCGTGCGGCTTTGGTCACGACGCAAGCACGTCTGGGGATGGGCGGAAGGAGGAGTGAGGGGCACTCATCGGGGGGGATAGACACAGGGATGCCGATACATCGCCTCGAATAGCCCTTACATCGCCCATGCATCGTCGACACATCGTCAAGGCAGACCGCCCCATGCATCGTCTCTGCATCGCCAATACATCCCGACGATCGGCTGCAACATGCGAGCCGGTTATGAGTGGCACCAGCCTCACGAATCTTCGTTGTCCCAAACAAGATGAAGTTCAGCGCGACGGCGAAGACGGTGCCCGCGATGACGGTGTCAAGCGTCTCGCGGAACGGCAGGACCCATCCTAAGCCCTTCTTCTCCACGAAGGGGACCACCGCCTTGGGGCTCGCCGCACCAGAATAAGGACGAACCATTTCGCCCTCCACCCCGAAAAAATGGACGTCTCATGGCGGAAAGCGGGCATGGGGACACATTCCAGAAAGTGGGAAGACAGAATAGCGAAGAGTGGGTAATGAAGGTAATCAACAGAGATGCCGTGGGCAGGACTCCCAGTTCTCCCCAACCCTCCTGTACAGTTGGGCCCCGTTTTCAGCTTTGAACGTTACTGCGCCGCGCGCCAACGCCCGTTTTCTTCTTCAGAGCACCGAGGTCGCGTTTTGTTCACGACGTGGCCCGCGAAAGGTTCAGACCCCCTTCCCAAGACCAGCGTTTCATCCCGTACGGGGGCCCAGCGAAGACCCCGAGAGGCAGACAACTGTCACACACCAGCCGTCACGCGCCGTGTTCCACGCCCCGAGGCTGCCAGGCACCGATGCCACGCCGAAGGAACATGCACCGCTGCCGTCCTCGCTTGCCCTCCCATCACCTGCTGCTGGGGCTGCTTTGTGCATTGGCCAAACAACTCTGAGCGACACGAGGAGGAGGAGGAGGAGGAGGAGGAGGAGGAGGAGGAGGAGGAGGGGGGAGGAGGAGGAGGGGGAGGGGGAGGAGGAGGAGGAGGAGGAGGGAGGAGGAGGAGGAGGAGGGAGGAGGAGGAGGAGGAGGAGGAGGAGGAGGAGGAGGGGGAGGAGGAGGAGGAGGAGGAGGGGGAGGGGGAGCGCAGCATCCGAGACGTCGAACGGCGAGGAACAAATCTTCAGTACTCTGGGTTTCTTAAAAAACGTGGGGGGTACCCCCCCCGACGGGGGTCAAACTCGCCTCGTCGTCGCGCCACGACGGGGGTCACTGGCGTCCGAATCGGAGGCCATCGAAGTCGAATCGAATCCAATCGGAGGAATCGAAAGGAGCCCTGTCAAAGGGGACTCCTGTGGTCTCCAAGGCAGCTTGGCCTCCGCTGGTGGATCGCCAGGTCGGCTTCTGGCAGTCACTGGAGGTGCAGCTCCAGCATCTGCTCAGACCTTAGTGGGCCCTGGAAACGACAGGGCCGTTTTTGTTACCGGTTCCGTTTTGCAGTTTTTTGGCCTGTTCCGACGCAATTTTTTTACCGGTTCCGTCGCCGTTCTTTTACGGGTTCCCGCTCCGGTTCCAATCCTGGAGCCGTTTTTGTTGCCGTTTCCATTTTCAAGGGACACGTTTTCGGAAACGGTGAAAAAACAGCCTGCCGCTTCCGGGGCCCACTAAGGCTCAGACCTTTTGTTGGCATGTCCTCCTACAGGCGGGTTTTGAAGAACAACGAAAATTGTCAACAATAAAAAATAGTAAACAATAGTAGAAGAATCGTCCCCAGACTAAGTTTTTGACTGTTTGGGAATATTCCTCCTGTAGAGAGACATGCCCGACTTAGACCTTGCGGCCTCGAGGCTGACCCAGACGTTGCGGCCACCCCTCTGGGCGCCTCCTCCGGGACCTTGGGGGCTTGAGGATTCCCGAGGCTCTGGAACCTGCTGACGAGGGTGAAGTGGCCGCCCTGGGGAACTGGGCTGGGTGGATGGCTCAGCCAAGGGACCTGTCCGTCGAAAGCCTCCAGCAGTTCCGCGAGAATGCCCAAGCTGGGGGCAAGACTTCGGCCGAGAGGGCTGCTGCTGAGGCTAGAGCGCGTTGGAAGGTCTGCTGCTCTGAAGCTCTGCCTGGTTCAGCGTCTGCGGCCCACCGGCGCTTGACAAGTGTGCTAAAAGACGCACGTGATAAACCGCTCATCAAGAGTGTACTAAAAAACGTGTGATACAAATAACTCCGAACAAGTGTATAACAAACCTGTGATACAACAGCAACGTTTGTATCGATCATACCTGTTCGGTGATGGGCCAACTCAGAAAAACAAGTGTGATAAAAGCTGTGATAACAAAACTGCGGTCGCTGTCGGGGCGGCGGGGCCCAGGGAATCCTCCCTATCGCCAAGGGGCGCGCCGCCACCTCGGCCTGTGGACTTCTCCGGGTCGAGCGCGGGGCGTGGGCTATGTTGCCCCCATCGTGCGTAAGGACCTCACCCCAGAAATGACTTGGAACACCCAGCAAAAACGCCGAAACAGTGTCGAACGAGCCTCGCCTCCCAGGGTCAGGCACGTGACAACCCTCAAGATTCTGTACTCTCTTGGTGCTCGGAGCTCTTTCTGGTGATCAAGGCTGAAGTACGATGGAACATCATAAGGCTTGGGGTGCCATCTGGAGTGAGCATTCGGTGGGCGAGGTCTTGCAGGTACTGGCGGCTTGGAGGGTTGCCGCCCGAGCTCAGCCTCCTCCTGAGCCGACTTCTGTGCGACAAGCTAAGACCGGGGAAAGGCAAGGCTCGGGTGTGGGGGACTCGGGTTGGCCTGACGGGGCCATCCCGAAAAAGAAGAGACCCAGCCTGAAATGTGACGCGAACCCCCGTGCAAACGTCCCACGAAGACTGCACCGTCAAAACCCAGGGCGCTCGTCAAACAGCGTCGGCATCCCCGAGTTCTGGCGTCCTCGGGTCTTACGTTTCCCCGATCGGAGGGCGCTAAAGTCCCTGCCAGATAGGAGCGGTCAGGGCGGGAATGGTGGTATATTTAGGTCGTGCATGTCCCCCTGCAGGCGGAATGTGCAAGACAAATTCAAGATAGTCCAAAAACGTTGAAAAAGAAAAACATCGGCCCCAGACTATGACTTGGTGCACTACTTTTGAATACTCCTCCTGTAGAGGGGCATGCCCGACTTAATGGCAATCATATGCCACAGCATGTTGGTCGAGGAGGGTCGCCCCGAGGCGCTCGGGGTCCCTTCGGGCCTGCTCTCGGCCATGGAGCGCGAAGCCAGCCTGCCGCTCCAGGGGCTGCTTGCACGTCGGGTCGGAAAGAGGCAGGTAAAAACTTGAAGTAGGAAGGCGGATAGAGCAGATTGGGTTCAGGCTCTCCCAGATAACAACAACACACAGCAAAGGCATATCGATTCTTGAAGCGGGAAGACACTTGAAATAGATTGCACTTTAGAATGTCAGACTACCTACTTTCAACATGAAGTAGGGAGTCGGATAGAGCAGATTGGGTCCAGAGAATACAGTGGAGACCCGATCACAAGGAACCTTCCACAGGAAACCCAGCCCTGAGACACAAGGACGCCCATTGATTTTTGGTGTGGGAACGTCGCGCCTGCACGGCAAAAAACCACCGAAACCCGAGAGACCCAGGGCACCCTCGAGGCAAGCAGGGAGATTCTTGGCATGGGCCCCCACTGCAACAACACACAGCAAAAGCATATCGATTATTGAAGCAGGAAGGCGCCTGAAATAGATTGGGATCTGGGAATCTGAAGATACACAATTTCAAAGGCCGGCCGACGGGTAATATGATGGCGCTGATCAATGAAGAACCTGGGCTCTTCCGTCCCGTTGCCATTTTCAATTTCTACTGTGTGCTGCTTCGTGGGATCCGGAAGCCCGTTGCTGGATTGGGGAAAGAATGCCCACGGCCCCTGAGACAAGACGGGTCGGTTCGTCGGCCGAAAACGCAAGCTGGTTAGACGAGCTCGAATCTGAATTGGCGTTGCTCAGAGGTTTTATCGGCGGTGGACAAACCTCCCTTTAGTAAACCTTCCTGTTGTGAAACTGGCCTAGGACCGAAACCGACTGACCTGGACCCGCAAAAATGACAGCCGCGACGCCCTCTCGTGAACCGAAAAGGACAGTTCGCTAATCGACGTGTCAGGGTAGGAGGTCTACCAACCTCCGATGTTAGCGTGGCTGGAGGCCTCCTGGACACGAGGAAGTTCTATGCTTTTCAGACCTAGCCCAGGCTTTTGTGTACCTCCAGTGTTTGGGTGACCCAAAAGGGGGTCCAGCTGAAAGGGGGTGGTTCAATCAAAAGTGCTGCAAATGTAATGCGCCGGAGAAACTGTATTGCATTGTATTGCAAGTGATGTATTGCACGCGAAAATACAGCATTATATTTGCGCCCGAAATGTATTGTACGCCCCAAATGTATTGCAACTTCGCAAGACTATTGCGCAACATCTATTGCACTGCCCCGTTGTCTTGGGTCAACCCGAGAGTGCCCACTCAGGCTCTGGGTCCTGGCACTGGACGTCTACTTGGCCCCAGAGCTTCTCACCTCCCACAGGACGTCAATCCTAGGTGGCTACCAGGGGTGCTTTTTTTTCGAGGATAAACAATGCACCCCCATAACAACCACCCCGACACGCGAAGCCGTTTGCTAAACGCCCCCACTGAAGGAATCGAACACGGCAGGGCTGTTCAGTAAACGCCCGCGGCCGCTTAGTAAACGCCAATTGTCCGGTCCGAGTGGTTTTTCTTGATTTTTGATGCTTGCGGTCTTGCGGTCAAGCTGCGTCCCAGGCCAAGGTTTATCGTTATGACCCCCTTCCCACCACCCGCCAAGCCGCCCCAGGTTCGCGGCTCCAAGAATCGATGGGTGATGCTCCCTTTCGCTTGCCGGGCTCTGAGCACACTCTGGGTATGGCGTTTCTGCTGGTCCTTCGGGTCCTGCTCCGGGGATTGAGCAGACACAAGTGCATGTCGGCGTTGCCCAATACAGTCGAAACATAGCCACAAGAACACGCATCGACAATATGAGCGCGTTTCTTTATGTTCGGCGATGACGGGCGTCATGGGGGGGGGGGAGGCCGGGGGGGGTATGACGTGACCCCCCCCCCCCGCCGAGTGGCTCCGGCACCACAGCCGCGCCCGCGCGCACGACGCGACGAGCGACGAGCGACGAGCCACGACGACGACGCGAGCAGCATGTAAATGGCGATCTGCCCATTGCGCCTGTGTACACCACAGCGCTCGCGTGCACCACACCGCGCGTGTGCACCACAGCGCCTGCGTACACCGCAACAGCCGTGTGCAACGCACCGCCCGCGTGCGCCGGTGCACATACACCGCAGCAACCATGTGCAACAACGCCTGTGTACACCACAGTGCTTGCGTGCACCGCAGCGCCTGTGCACGCCACAGCGCCTGTCTACACCACAGCATCCGCGTGCAACGCAGCGCTGGTGTACAACACAGTGCCTGCGTGCACAGGGTACGTCAGGATCTGCTGCGGACAACTAAACGCCACGCCAGGAAAGTTCTGATAATCGAATGCGACGTTTTTCCCTCCTCCCTCCTCCTCCTCCTCCACCTCGACCTCCTCCTCCTCCTCCTCCTCCTCCTCCTCCTCTTTCTCCTCGTTCTTACCCCCTGTGGTGCGGCTTGGCGTTACAACGCACGTGCGCATCTCAGCGTGCACCGCAGAATGGTCGATTGAATCGGTCCACTTGGTTCTCGGACGGCCAGTTTAGCTGGAGCCGCCTGGACGCAAGTGGGAGTTAGGGTGATGCGGGCGGACTCGGGGGGACTGGTAGATTCCAGCGGCGCTCCTTCGTCCATGATGATTTAATTTCCATTGATTTTTCTGGAATCCACACGCGATCCATTTTGTCACAAGGATGCCTTGTGAAATTCTATACACAACAATGGTGTTGTGTTGCACACGGCTGATGTGGTGCACACAGGCACCGTGGCGTACACAGGCACTGCAATGCACGCAGGCATTGTGGTGTACACTGGTGCTGTGTTGCGCACGGCTGATGTGGAGTACGGAGGCGCTGTGGTGTACGCAGGAGCTGCTCTGCCCGCAGGCACGGTGGCACAAACTGACGCTGTGTTGCACGCGGCTGCTATGGTGTACATAAACGGTGTGGTGTACACAGGCGCTGCGGTGCTCGCGGGGCGGGCACTGTGATGTACACAGGCGTTGTGGTGCATATCGCCACCTACATGTTCGTGCTACCCGTCCTCCGTCATTACTAAGCATTCCCAGACGCCGCCGGCGCGAAACGTGACGTCATCGACACCCTCCCCCCCCAGATGATTGCAGTCATCGGCCCGAACTAAAAAACAGGCTCCAGCCGCGTCCGCGCGCACGACGACGATGAGCGACGAGCGACGAGCGACGAGCGACGAGCGACGACGACGACGACGACGACGACGACGACGCCTGCGGACCAGACACCTATGCAGATTCCTACGCGGACACCTACGCGGATCCTAATGCGCACGGCGGCAGTGCACGTAGCGCACTGGGGGGGGGGAGCGTTACGTCGTAGGGGGTAGGGGGGGGGGGAGCGGGGGCCATGAAGCCCGTCATGCCCCAAGCAATAAAGAAACGGGCTCTATGAACCCCTTCCCTGATGGCCCACAGCCGTATGGAGATACCGTCAAGGCGAAGAACGCACAAGGGTACTCCGGATTCCATAATCAAGCGGGCGGATCACGTTTGGGGGAGGGGGAGATATTTGAGCTGCCTCGGAGGGTTCCAATGGGGTCTCGGCAAAACGCCGGCCCTGTCATGGCTGGTCTGGGGGGGTCCAAAACTGCTCGTCTGGGAGGGTTGTGACCCCTCCCTTTTGCTACGAGAGCTTGGGGTCATCCATCCAAAGCTAGCGTTGCTTGCCCTCGTGTCGGCGGACGGCGAGCGCGCAGACCGGGGCCGGCGGGACGAAGCAGGCGGGCAGGTGGGCGGGGAGGGAGAGGGGGGAAGAGAAGGCGAAGGCGAGGGAGGAGGCGAGGAGAAGGACGAGGTGCGAGGTGTCAGGGAGAGAGGGAGGAGGCGAGGGAGAGAGGGCGAGGAGGATGCAGGGATCGGGGGAAGGTGGGAGGCGAGGGACAGGAGGAGGGGACGGGACGCGAGGGCGAGGTGGGCGGGCCTCGTAGACGAAGGACTCGAGCACGCAGATCTCGAGCCGCACCCGCAGCAGCGCCTCGATCGCCAGCGGGCGGTACTCCATGCCGTCGGCGCCCAGGAGGGCGTCCGCCAGGCCCTGGGGCGCGGGGCTCCCGGCGCCCACGGCCGCCGACTACACTCGTCGCGGCGTGCACCGCGTCGCGCAGTCCAGGCGTCGTCCTGACTCGGCTATGCGCAAGAGTGACCCTGGGTGTGAGAGTGACCTCTGGTGCGCGGCATGAAGGGGGCGCGGGGTGGCTAAAAGCGCGCAAGCCGCTGATATCGCAGCGCGTTCGGCGATTGGGGGACCCGCTTGGGCCCGCACCAAAGGTCACTCCGGCGAAAGGTCACTCTTACGTCTAGCCGACCAACGATCCCTTGGCGTCGGGGCTTCTCAAGTGCGGGGGTCCGGTATCGTAGTCTTGATGCTCGCGTCGACGACGATGACGCGGTGGACGCGTGTGCGGGGGTCCCGCACTCGAGCTCGTCATCCCCTCAGCTTTAGATCGAGCATGTCCCCCTACAGGCGGATTTTGGACGACAGACATTGAAACAAATACACCAGAACTACTCAGAAATAGTCAAACAATGTTAGAAAAATCGTCCTCTGACTATTTTTAACTATTCTTGAATATTCCTCCTGTAAGGGACATGCCCAACTGAATGCTTGCGTCGACGACGATCACGTGGTGGACCCTTGCGGGGATCCTGCACTCGAGCTCGTCATCACCTGAGCTTTCATCTTGCCCCTAATCCTCGGGCGTAGAGCATGGCATGCACACGCTGAAGCACGACGCTCCCCGCGCCAACTGCCTCCACCCGGTGCTGCGCCGTTCGAGAGTAAGGGCGAATACAATATACTCACTGGACCATCGAACTACACGTCGTCGGCTGTGTGCGCATCTTGTCGCATCGTATCATGCTCCCTCCCCTCCTCCCCCGGAAAAAATGTGTGCGCATGGTTTCGTATCGCATCATCCTCCCTCTCCCCTTTCCCCCCGAAAAGCCAGCGTGCCCTGGATTTCTGGGCGTCGACCACACATCAGCCCACCGGCTCTGGGTCAGGCGTGGCCCCGTGGATGCCCACCTCCCCGCTGCCAGACCGACAAACCTGGGGGCCCACGTCGTGAACAGAATCACAAAAAGTCTGCGGTGCAGTGCGGGCATGCATCCGTATCCGCTGCCTGGGGAGCCGATGTGCCGTGACCCCAGGTCCGGTGGTTATGGACACATCTAGGCCCCAAGGGGTCCCGAACATGTACGTGCCCCCCGCCGCCCGAGGTCCTGGAATACTTTCGGTAGCAACTCACGAGAGCCTCACATACCACCTGGCTGGCTCTTGCCAACCGACGCTGAATCGATGTGAATCGACGCTGGCCCACGCTAAATCGGCGCTTTCTCATCGATTACCAGAGGCTAACCACCGCCAAGAAGGAATTACGAGGGTCTACGAGGCTCCCGGGATTTGCTACCGACTCTAAATCCCAACTCACAAACATCGGAACACGCTGAGGTTCACGACTGGGATCCCCTGAAGCAGCATCCACAACCAAAAAGCGACACAAGAGCATGAACACATAAAACACAGAGTGCGCAACAAACATGTTCAGTTGTGCGTCTTGGGTTGAAAACTTGTGTTGCACATTTGTCGGCGCAGGCTCTTTTGTGGTTGATAAGAAGAATGCGCACCAACATTGGTGGTTCACCGTTTGTTGTGTTGTTCGTTGCGCGTGCTCTTGATGCTTGGTGTGTTGTTTGTACCGCTGTGTGTGCTTACAAGCATGGAGAAACGAGCTCTTTTTTGCCAATCAGGAGGACACATGGATGACACGGCCAAACATAGAATCGAAGAACATCCCGCAAGAACATGAGACCGCGTGCTGGCCAAACCGCAAAACATTCCAGGGAGCCCTCCCCCAAGATGCACAAACATATCCAAGAGACACGAAGAACATTGGGGTACCCTCCCCGAACCGACCTCGACCTTATACCCCGGTCCGACCGTCAGGTCGCCGCCGCCATCGTGCACCAGAGCAGTGAAGGGGAACTGGGACACACAAATAAATACACACAAATGAAAATATCCCCCATATTTTCCCATATTTTCTGGGTTTTTGTCTTCCCCCCCACTTCCCATATTTTCCCATATTTTCTGGGAATCGCCGATTAATTGTGTCTGTGTGTTTTTTCCCCTCCTGGAGCAGGCAGAGACGACGGGGCCCTGCGCGGGAACTCCCGGGCCGCGACGCCGACCCGCCTCGCCGAGTGTGAGACGTCCCCATCCGTCAATGCGCCCCGCACGTGGCCCATTTTGGCCCAAGGGGGAGGAGGAGGGAGGAGGAGGAGGAGGAGGAGGAGGAGGAGGAGGAGGAGGAGGAGGAGGAGGAGGAGGAGGAGGAGGAGATGGGGTCCGCATAGAGGGGTCGGAGGATCGCGCCACATCACCAGCGCAACGCAGATGCATCGGCGATGCATCGGCGACGTCGGCGATGCATCGGAGCCATCGGCGTGGAGAACACCTGACTCCACATCGAGCCGCATGGCCGATGCATCTGCCATGCGGCACGATCCTCCGACACCATTTACATGGACCCCTTCTGGGAGGCCTAGAGACAACTCTTGAGGGCGCAACTCTCACTTCCGCCGGTCTCCGCCAGCTGTCCGCCGGAAGACCCGCGCTTGTTTTGCCTCCGCTGGCTTCTGCCAGCCTTCCGCAACTCTTCCGCCGAGGAAGAGATACCAACGCCTTCTTATCACCCCGAATCGTGTTTCACCCTTGCGTCACACCCTTTCATCTCTGTCCCCCCAAACCGACATCTCTGACCCAGTGACGCGATGCAGGTTTGAGCCTTCTGCGAACAGGTAGGCGACAATTCCCCGATTCGTGTTAACGGTCTCAGGTAATGGCTATTGCAGTCAGCATTGAATCGGAAAATCGGATCGAATCGATATGTGCGTCGGATCGGGGCACATTGGCGCGGAGATAACATCGAATCGAATCGGATCCGCCGGGCCAGGACGCACAACGGCGCTGTGCAAACGTCGGGCCGCATCCGATCGCCAGGAAATCGAAATCGAATCGGATCGAGCTGGGCGAACTTGGCATCGAATTGCATGGGAGGTCCCAAAGTGCCGCCAAGAGGACCCCAGAAGGCCTCCCCCAAGAGAACCCAAGACGCCTCCCAAAGAGGCGCCTTGTCCACGACGCACTTTGGCCCCAAGAGTGCCCCAAGCAGCCATCCAGAGGCCTCCTCCTCTTCGTCCTCCTTGACCTTCTCGCTCGCCACAAGCACGCCAACCAAACAGATAAGAGTGATTTGCGCCCCGAGACTTCTGGAGGCAATATCAAATCATTGCCCTCCCATTCATTGTGATGGGAATATCATTCCGGCACACCCCTTACGCACTCCGTGAATCTTTGGAGCCTCAATTCCACACGCCCCTCACGCACGACGTGCCCAATGGACCCCGATAGGCCCTTAGCTGGCCCCCACGACCGCCCCGTCCCGACAGGGGGGCGCACATATGCCCCCAAGAAACATTGCAACGATTGGTACTGACCCTCGTCGAGGCAGTATGCCCAACACCTACTGATAGCACAATCTGCATGCAAGCTTCCCCCTGGGGGGCCCGCCGCGACTCCCGCCCTGCGAGCTGACGTAAGCGGGCATTCCGCCCGATGGCATCGCGAACTCACGCCGCGGCTTACGCGGGCCGCCAGAGCGGCATTGCACGTTGGAAACGAGGACGCTTACGCGCGACCTTATGCGGGCAACTTGCGCGGGAATGGCCGCGCAATCGACGCAAATTCCTTCCTCAACTCAACCACGTTGGGCAAGAAATGCAACAACACGCCCGTCACACCCGTCCCTGACGTCCTCGCGTCGCGAAAACAAAACACGACGGGGGGGGTCCACACTCGACAGGGTGGAAAGGTTGGATTCGACGAACAGATCTCCCGTCCTGCACACACTGCATTTGCCGCGGCTGTGCCCAAAGTGTGCCCGTGCTCCCTGGGGATCCCGCTTCGCGTTCTAGGGTGGGGAACACTCGAAGCAAAATAGTTTGTCACTGTCGGTATTTACCCGGGGACCCTTACCAGGCCACGGGACGTCCAAAACCGAATCGAGAAGGGGTCGGGACTTCCAAGAAGCCCAGGTTCCCTGACATCTGACGTGACCAAACATCTAAACGTCGCGAACAATTCATGGCTGGAGCCCCAGGCCCCACCTTTCTGCGACATTTCTCGAGCGGACTCGATATGTGAGGGTCACGGGGCCCGATTCAAGGGCAAACACCAGTTGAAGCGCCCGGATCTCAGGGTTGACGAACTCAGGACGCTGGATGTCTGGGAGCCCCTAGCCCCTCGCTCCGACCAAGGATGGGCCTCCGCGCGGGCCAACCGCAGACAGTGACGCAGCACAGCGTCACGCATGAGATACGAGGGCGTCTGGGGTCCGCTGGCCACTGGGGGTGCAAGGCTGGAGAGACCGTCCCGCCGTCTCGTTTTCTGTGGTGTGACTGTGAATCTGTGTGTGTGTTTACTGTGTTTACTCCTCTCCCTCCTGCCCGCGCCGGGCCTCCTCTCTCCTCCCGCGTGCCCTGCGGCTCAATTCGCGTTTTGTGCGACCCACTAGTGCCACATCGCCGGAGCAGTCCATCTGCCCAGCCGCCGACGCATAAAGTGTGTGGATCTCTTACCCCTTCTCTCTCCAGCCCTTGTCCTCATCTCTCATGGCGAGGGGGGGAGGGAGCAACGTGGCCCCCCCCAAAGCGGGGGGGGGGGAGGGGGAGGGGGCGGACCCTCAGTCTCCTGGCCGCCCCGTGCTGCTAAGTGACTCCCATGGGGGACGCCACCAGACGGCCAGGCCTCCGAAGAGAGAATCAAGAGCCCAAGACGGCCGAAGATGGCCACAGCATGCCCCTGATGAGGACCAGGAGGGCACCAGGGCGCCCTCGAGAGAGAGAGAGAGAACAACCACCTGCACCATATCAGGGTGCTTTCAATGCTGATTACCTGTCCCATGTTCTGAACACAAGATGCTCCAACATCGTCCCATGACCACCCTCAGAGCCTCGGAGACGCTGGCTCAGAAAATACCCCGATACGCCAACCATGCAGATCTCCAAAGGTGTTCCACCAAGGCCCCAAGATACCCCAAATCTACTCAAGAGGCAGCAAAAGCAGCCCAATAAACACGAGACATGCGGCGACGTGTCTGTTGCGTAACGTGGCTCAGCAGAAGTAGGGGCCATGCGTACGTGCTTTCTTGATGGCCCGGGGCCCTGGTAAGGGCCCCCCTCTGTGGAGCCGACAGCAATCAAAAACTGTCCGTCGTGGTTATTGTTCATGACGCGAGGAAGTATGGAGCCCCAGGCTCCTGCCGAGGGGCTCAAGACGCAGCGGAGAAGCCCCCAGATCCCGCCCCCCCCCCACCACACACACACACACACACACACACACACACACACGCACGCACGCACGCACGCACGCACGCACGCACGCACGCACGCACGCACGCACGCACGCACGCACGCACGCACATACACACACACACACACACTCACACACACAAGTACAAAAACAAAGACGCAGCTGCCCCAGCATGGCCACGGGATGACAAGGTGTCAGGGGAGATGCAGCAGAGGTGCATAGCCCTTCAGATAAATCGGGTCATGCCAAAACGAAAGTGCGCTGTGCGACAAACATAAGTATCAAAGCCGTCCACGAAGACATCACAATCTAGAATGACCCGAAGCGGCAGCGAAACCGAAACCAACCGAAGCCGACGGACCGCAAGCAGCCTAGAAGGGCGCAATGACCCAGCAGCGACAAAAGAACCGACCGAACTGAATAGACTGCGACGCAACCGAACCGACCGAACCGCGGACACCCCTGTACTTGTTGCCCCACACAACCGACGACCATCAGGGCATGATTGAATAATGGCACTATGTAAGCGAGGGCAGTGCGTTTGCAAGGCTGTGGCTGCGTGCCTTGCCGACGCCGTAGAGCGAGTCACTCGTAGGGCAGACGGGCCTGAAGGTCTCTATTGACAACTCCTCGGGAGTGGAGTGGTATCAAGTGCGAGCCGATCGAGAATCAAACACTTGCAGTGTCCTGACTTTCTTCGCCAAACAACTCTGCAATTCAGCTTGGTCAATCATCGTCCTTCCTCGCAGTCACTGTTCTACCGTACCACTACATGTCTTCATGATGTCAAACTCTCAGCATGTACTCTGCCAATGTCAGCGCGACGGCGAATGGCTCTCACTGGCCAAGGACGAGCAAATCTGCGAACGCAACTCTTCAGACCGACCACTTAGAAACGTACATCGCCCTCACCGAACGCGGCCCATGGCGATGCTGTGCTGCCGCCTCCCAAGACAGAGATGTCTGCAGTTGGCCGAAAGGGGCTCCAGGTGGCCAGCATACCCTGGGTTTCTTAAAAAGCGTGGGGGGTACCCCCGACGTGGGTCAACCTCGCCTCGCCGCCGCGCCGCGATGGGGGTCAGAACGTCTTCGGCGCGCGGTGGCTGCCCGCGACGGGGGTCGGTGTGGCGCTGTCGGCGGGGGTGACGCCCCCCCGACGCTTACTAAGAGCCTCGGAGCACCTTGCGAAGTCCGAGAGCTCGTGCTGACGCCCTTCCTCGAACTACTGCTTGCGCTCCAGGGTTCTTATGCTCTGTTTTTCGGCTGGAGCTGGGTGGGCGTGCCGGGCTGCCACCGCACTGGCACCCGTGCCCGCTCGTGGGCGCCCCGTGCGCAGTGGGTACAGAAAAAATGGGCACGACGACCAAGGCGACGACCACGACCGACGACGGCGACGACGACGAAAACGACGACGACCACGACGAAGATGACGACGACCGACGACCGACGACGACGATCACGACGACGACGACGAGGACGGACGACGACGCCCAAACCAACAGCGGCCGCTGTTGGACAGGCGGCCTTCTGTCTCGAAAGGGCACAGGCCGCGGCGGCGTGGACAGCGAATCCTGCATCCTGATCAAGAAATGGGCAAGGACTGCTGCTGGGCATCGTATAGCCACTCTTTCCGTACCCATTCCGGGCGTCCAGATTGGGTGGGCTTCCCAAAACTTCGCCTCACTGGCGCCGGTGCCCGCTCGTGGGCGCCTCGTGGGCGCCCCGTGCGCCCTGGGCGCCCGTGCCCGGCCTTGGGCACCTCGTGGGCGCCCCGTGCGCTGGGTGGGCTTCCCGAAGTCTCGCCTCGTTGGCGCTGGTGTCCGCTCGTGGGCGCCAGGTGGGCGCCCCGTGCGCTGACACCGCTTCGCTTGCACACCAGAGCTTGCTCTTCACAGGTTGCGCCACGTAGCTTACAACGCGCAGCTCACACTACGTAGCCAACACCCCATAGCTGGCACAACATGGCTCACACCGCGTA